ATAAAGTTAAAATTATTCCTAATATAGTACTTTTTCTATTACCTTTAATAATAGTATAATGACTATATGTAATAAAAGCCTCTAAGGATAATAATAATATAGTATTAAGTAAAGGTATTATAAAAGGATCTAAAATTTGAATTCCTAAAGGAGGCCAAACACTCTCAATTTCTACATTAGGTAATAAACTAGAATGGAAATAGGCCCAGAATACAGATAAGAAAGCTATTAATTCACTAATAATAAATAGAGTAAAACTAATAGTTAAACCTCTTTTTACTTGTTCAGTGTAGTGACCTAAATAAGTCAGATTCCTATTATCTTTTTTATAGTAAATTAAGTATATTTATTAAGTACTAATGTATGTGACTATAATAAACTGTTTTCTAAGCTTATATGTTGAGTTTTGAAGGAATGAAAATTCAAATATTAAGAAAACATGAAAAACAGTGTATTTTCACTATAACTCAGTCAAATTACTGAATTCTGTACAGAATTGAGTGAGAAATAGCTATTTTTTTGTTTTGTTTACTTTTGTGACAAAAAATGATGAATCATCAAGTGTGACAATACTTATGAAAAGGGCAGTAATACAAGTATGAACAGTATTATAATACTATGAAATACATTAGATAGATACTAATAAGTATATTTATACAATGATTTAAATAAAATAAATAAAACTAATATATAAAACATTTTACCTAGCAAACCAATTACTGTCATTTTCATAAATATTGTCACACATGTGATTTGTGATTTTCATCATACTAAGTACACTCAAATACAAAATCTATCATAACTCAACTAATACTTACCCAAATTACATAATCTAAATTGTAAAAATTATACTTTTAAAGTGTCTTTCATATTCCAGAAAAAATAAAGTAAAATGAGCAAAATTTGAGTAAGATACAACACAATATGTGAGTTTTCCCTATATTTCATATATATGAGTTTTCCTGGCCCTAAAACTGATTGTACAATACTATAAACTAGTCTAAATGAAGAATATAACTTTATTGTTAATTTACATATTGAATCCTAACTAGGATACAGAATACACATATAAGTATAATATATATTTAAGTTTGCTAAAATTGAGCATTTTCCTCTAACCTCTCTACACTCAGGGAAAGTTCTTCTGAGTATTATTTATGTTTGTAAATTTATTATAAACAAAATATATTAAATATAAGTACTTTTATAAGTTATAGTAAAGTTATATAAGTCAGAGAAGTACTATTAAAGTAGTATAAAGAATAATGACTTTCTACTTTATTTAGACTAGAAATCCATACTAAGTCTATTAAAACTGTTTGAAACTAGTCTAATTTATTTAGAATGAATTTACAAACATGAATAATACTTAGAAGAACTTTCCCTGAGTGTAGAGAGGTTGGGGGAAAATGCTCAATTTTAGCAAACTTAAATATGTATTATACTTATATGTGTATTCTGTATCTATTAGATTGTACTCTAGATTAGGAAATCCCCAATTGCCTTATGTAGCATTACTACACTTGGAATGTCTCAGACTATTAGACTTTACTATATAGTATATAAGGTAGACACTCACTTAATGTCTTAATAAGAGAGAGTTTGAGAGTACTCCTACTATACTTATTAAAAGGTTATAAGCCTTAGTGCCTATTAAATGCTCCCACATACTCACTCTCACAGAATACCTTTGCCTCCTGCTAGTACACTAAGTCCTAGAACTTCCCCTTCCTCCAAACCTATTACAATGTTGTCTACAATACATACCTTTGTTAACACTATAATAAAGGACTCTAACATTATAAAGTTCTTTGAGAGAACAGAAAAGTTGGCTAGTATAAAGGGATACAAGATATAGTACTTACACATACACAGTGTGCTTGCTACTATGATGCTCTCAGACCATCTAGAGTATAATCCCCCTTCCTCTAATAATGCTAGCATACATACAGGTAACATTTTGTATTATTGTATAATGAAAACAATAACTAATACAATTTATACAAACTTTACAATACATACAAGCATTAGAAGTCTTATGAAAGTACTTTCTGAACAATACAATGTTCAAACAATAATAACACATACTGTAAACATATCTATGTTGTTTATAGTTAAAGAGTATGTATTACAGTTTGATAAGATGTTAGACAACATTGAACAAATCTACAAACAGTTGTCTACACATAATAAAGCCCCTAATAACAATACATATATCTCAGCAATTAACCTTACTACTCCTTGTGAGTATAGATGAGTAGTAACAATGCTAGACAGGCAGATTACCTATTATAATCAACTACTAATAGTTACAGTAGCTTAGAAAGACATTCTGACACTAGCTAAGTTAATACACAAATTGCAAAACACATATACTGAGTATCATTCTCAGTACTCCCAAACGAAACAAGATACTGAACAAGACAGTCTACAAACAAAAGGCAAGAGTATAGCTAAAGGCAAAACAAAGCCTTACAGTAAAGTTAAATGCTACAATTATAATAAGTACAGGCATATGTTAAAAGACTACTGAGATCCCTCAACAAGTAAAACAATGGAAGCTTAAAAGAAAAAGTATAGGCAAACAGCTACTACTTCTACTACTACTACTATGTTGTCTCAACCTGTACTTACTACAGTAGTATTCATTAGAGACAATAACAAAACAGTATTTATTAAAGATGTTAATAAAACACTAATGCTAGAGTCTGTGATTGTAGAAGCCTTAGTATTAAACTCTAGCAGCTTACCTGTTTAATCTGCTCTATCTGCTAAATCCAACATATTCTCAGCATTCAAAGTACAAGAGGATAGTGTTATACAAGTAGACAACTTCATGAACTCATTTGATAAAACAAAAGAAGTCATTAAGGACTTCAAGTATGATTCAAACATATGTATTAATACAATATGTTGTAATGATACTGAACTAATACATTGTGTTAATATATTAGACTCTGGTGCAAATGTACACACTACTCTATACTTGTTCTGTCTTACAAATATTCAGAACTCAACCCTAATAAACATTATGATTGTGAATAAATTGTTATTTACACTTAGTAAAAGTAGAGTAATGACATTTAATGTAAAACTACAAGATAAAGACAATGAGCATACTAAGGTGAATACAAACACTACAAAATGTATACTATCATCCTAATCTGAACTTCACACTTGTTAGTAAAGTACTATTATACAAAGTAGGATATGTTTTAACAAAAACAAACAATGAATGTATTATTTATTCCCCTACTCATACAAAGATTAGTGAAATACATGTACAAAATAACTTGTATATAATAGTTTCTCATCATAATAAACAATCTATTAACATAATCACTATTGTTGATTTACATTAACAAATGGGTCATGTTAATTTTGATTATTTGTGCAAACTCATATAAGAGTATCCTGAGATTATAAGTCAAAGGATAATAGACAATAAAAATGCACAGTGTACAGATTGTATCAAAGCAAACATACAATACAATAAAATACCAAAAATACAAACTACACCTCTTGTACAATGTTATAGAGGTCATCTCCACATTGATATTTGGGGACCCACCCTAGTACAAGCTTACAGTAAGTACAAATACCTTTTTACCATTGTAGACAATGCTACACAATGGGTAACTATACTACCTATGTAGTATAAAAGTAATACTTTTACTGAATATGTAAAGTATACAATAAGACTCTTTATACAATACAGTATAAGAGTTAAAACTCTTTAAAGTGATAACAATACAGTGTTCCTAAGTAAAGACTTCACTACATATATTGAAAGTCAAGGAACAATACACAGATTAACAGTACAACAAAACAGAGTTGCAGAATGTATGTATAAGACTATCTTTAACAGCATACATACATGTCTGTTATCAGCAAAGTTACCTATGAAATTCTGGGTATATACAGTACAATATCAAACGTTTATTTCATAACAGAACACTGAGAGTTGCTATTAATTTTGTAACACCATATTACAAATAGTATAACAAACATTATCAAATAGATAATATATGAGAATTCAGCATATATTGTATCATACAAAACAAACAAACAAACACATAAACTACAACCTAGAGGCTAATACACACAATGGCTAGGTTATAATACTGACAGTAAAGGTCACTTAGTGTGCTATGATAATAAAGTTACTATTGAATGTAATATACAATTCATAGACAAACTAATGTCTAGGATTAAAGGGGAGAATAATCATAATGATGATACATCAAACAATGATAAAACTCTTCCTAATAACAATAATAAAGACAAAGAACCTGTCATACAACACTCTACACAAGAGCAAAGACTAGTTAAACAAATTATAGGTTTAAATTACAAAGATAATATAAACCTAACTATGTATCTAACAGAATTTAACAAATTCCTCAACAAAATCTATAGTGATCCATTAACATATTACAATGCTATAACACACATAGATAAAGAACAATGGATCAAAGCTATGAAGGATGAAATACAGTCACTTTAACAACAAAATGTATAGATATATACTATCCCCCCTACAAATACAAATATAATTGGAACAAAATTTGTCTATAAAATTAAAAGACTAGCTAATAGCTGAATAGACAAATACAAAGCACAATTTGTAGTGTAAGGATACACTCAAAAGAATGGAATAGACTTCTATTCTGACAACTTATTTGCCCTAGTAACAAAACTATCAACAGTACAATTATTGTTATCTTGGGCAGTATCTAAGAACTACAAGATACATTAGATAGATGTAAAATCCACATATCTTTACAGAGAACTAAATGAGGACAAACTCATTTATGTGAAACTACTACCAGGCAAGCTACTTACAGATATTAAACTTAGACAAGCATTACATTTAAATAAAGCACTATACAGATTGAAACAAGCAGGTAGACAATAGTACAAGAAGATTACCAAACTACTGCTTAAGATCAGATTAGAACAAGCTAATTATAATCATACTGTATTTTATAAGAAACAAAATAATAAAATGATTCTTATAACATTTATACACATTAATGATATTACAATTATTAGTGAAACTATTACTATAATAACAGCATTTAAACATGCATTAAAACAATACATTGTATTTACTGACAGTAACAAAATACATTAGTTACTTAGTATTGAAATAAGCTGAGATAGACCTTAACAAATGATTAGCTTACAGTAAAAGCATTATATTAAAAGTATAATCAAGTGTTACCACTTCAAAAACAAAAAGGCACTACAAACACCTATTACTCCTGGAATAGATCTATCCAATAATACAAACAA